TTGGACAGTTTGCTTTCTTGCATTTCCTTTTCTTTGGGATGGTTTTTGTTGCTGCCTCCTGTACGACATTACAAGCCTCCATCCATAGTTCTTCCACCAAATCATGTTCCTTAAATCTGTTCTTTACTTCCACTGTGTATTCTTAAGGGATTTAGTTTAGATTATACCTGAGTAGCCCAGTGGTTTTTCCTATTCTCTTCAGCTGAAGCTTGAATTTTGCTATAAGAAGCTGATAATCAGAGCCACAATCAGCTCCAGGTGTTGTTTTTGCTGACTCTATAGAGCTTCTCCATTTTTGGCTGCAGAGAATATAATCTGATTTCAGTATTGCCCATCTGGTGATGTCCATGTGTAGAGTCACCTCTTGTGTTGTTGGAAAAGAGTGTTTGTGATGACCAGCTTGTTCTCTTGACAAAACTCTATTAACCTTTGCCCTGATTCATTTTGAAATCCAAGGCCAAACTTACCTGTTCTTCCTTTTATCTCTTGACTCCTTACTTCATCATTCTAATCCCCTATAATGACAAGAACATCTTTCTTTGGAGTCAATTCTAGGTGTTGTATACGTCTTCGTAGAATTGGTCAATTTCAGCCTCTTCAGCATGGGTGGTTGGTGCATAAACTTGGATTATTGTGATGTTGAAAGGTCTGCCTTGGATTCGTATTGAGATCATTCTATCATTTTTGAGAATGTATCCCAGTACAGCTTTTCCCACTCTTTTGTTGACTATGAGGGCTACTCCGTTTCTTCTACGGGATTCTTGCCTGCAATAGTAGATATTATAACTGTCTGAACTGAATTCGCCCATTCCCGTCCAGTTTAGTTCACTGACGCCCAGGATGTCAATGTTTATTCTTGCCATCTCCTGTTTGACCACATCCAGCTTACCAAGGTTCATAGATCTTACATTCCAGGTATTTTTCTTTGCAGCATCGGACTTTCCTTTCACTTCCAGGCGTGTCCACAGCTGAGCATCCTTTTGGTTTTGGCCCAGCCACTTCATTAGCTTTGGAGCTACTTGTCCTTGTGCTCTGCTCTTCCTCAGTAGCATGTTGGATGCCTTCCGACCTGAGGGTCCCATCTTCGACCGTCATATCTTTTAGCCTTTTGTTTCTGTTCATGGGGTTTTCTTGGCAAAGATACTGGAGAGGCTTGTCAGTTCCTGCTCCAGTTGGATCATGTTTGGTCAGAACTGTCCACTATGACCTGTCCGTCTTGGGTGTCCCTGTATCGCATAGCCCATAGCTTCTCTGAATTACTCAAGCCCCTTCACCATGACAAGGCAGCAATCCGTGAAGGGGCCGCTAGCTCCCAGAAATTAAGAAACAGTCACATTTTCTGTCATAGAGTAAACGCTACGTGCTAAACAGTCACATTTTCTGTCATAGAGTAAAGGTCATGAGGAGAACTCTACGTGACCAGTTTCTACACATCAGGTTGCTGCCAAAGGCACATGAAAACAGGAAAATATATGGCAACTCAAGGAAAAGGGCACATAAGGAACAAATATGGGACAAGATTACAATATTTAACCTGGTCGCTGTAAATGGCCAAGAGGCCACAGAATTAAAGTAAAAACTCACAGAATTTGCTATGTGTTATATTAGTTTTAGCACTGTCTGACAATACAGACAATCTATACTGACCAAAATTTCACATATATAGTTAACATATTGTACATTGTGTTTATAATATGCTTTTTAAACCCAAAATCTAAATTAGAGGTAGGATGGCTACGAAACTGAAATAAGTATTAGTA